GTTTGACCACATCCAGCTTGCCGTGATTCATAGATCTTACATTCCAGGTTCCTATGTAATATTGTTCTTTACAGCATCGGACCTTCTTTCACTTCCAGATACGTCCATGACTGAGCGTCCTTTTGGCTTTGGCCCAGCCATTTCACTCTTTCTGGAGCCACTTGGAATTGCCCTTTGCTCTTCTCCCATAGCATATTGGCTGCCTCCTGACCTGAGGGGCTCATCTTCTGGCGTCATATCTTTTAGCCTTTTGATATTGTCCATGTGGTTTTCTTGGCAAGGATACTGGAGTGGGTTGCCATTTCCTTCTCCAGTGGACCATGTTTTGTCAGAACTCTCTGCCATGACCTGTCCATCTTGGGTGCCCTGCATAGTATAGCTCATAGCTTCATTGAATTATGCAAGCTCCTTCGCCACTACATGGCAGTGATCCATGAAGGGGTCCTGTTCTATATGTTCTGTTAAGTTCCTTTATATAGTGGCAGACATATTAAATTAATTTCTGGGAACATTGTTCCCAAACAGCTTTGATTTCTTCTAATTCAAATAATATTGCTCCATTGTGTTAATGGGTCACTTCTCCTCTAATTATAACCTTTAGTTCTCTCTGGTTCCCTCTAGCCAAACTTCTTTGGTCCCTTCTTATCATATGTTTATTTTCAGTCAACAAAATTTTCCCATGGGAGGATTTCTTACAGTTAATTTCAAAATCTAGATAGATAGATAGATAGATAGATAGATAGATAGATAGATAGATAGATAGATAGATAGATGTAAACAACCCACAAAATATATTCTTTCAAGTCCACATGGCCCCTTAGCTTTCCAAAATCAACATTCTAGTCCCCCTGTTGCTGTTTTCCAAAAGTAATTTTTTTATCTTTTTAATCCTTAAACTTACATGCAACTTCTTTCACCTAGAAGGAAATTTTCCTGGCATAATGAAACTTGCCCTTCTAGAGGTTCTGAACATCCAAGAAGATCAGTAATAAGTGATTCCTTAGTTGGTTAAGAAAGGAAATAAAAGACGAATCCAGTGTCCATTTGAAGGCACTGTGCCACGCCAAAGGCAGGATTGTTTTCCCCAGCTCCCAGAGCTCTAAAACACGCCAGAGGGAAGCTTCCATACAGAGCAAAATTGTGGGTGATCGTAGTCCTCTCCTGGATCCCAAGAAGAATTCTGAGGAACAGATCCGTTCCTGGCTCCTCATTCCCCTGCAGCCATTGGCTCCACTCTTCACGGAGGCATCTTCATTCTGCCACTGCTTCCCCAGAAGCTTCCAGATATTTGGAATCCTAATGTACTTTAGAAATGTTTTTATGTGAACATTGTATCTCTGTACTGTTCTGTACAAAATAATGCTATTTTGCAGTACTGTGAAGTTAGTTGGATATTAAAAAACAAGACCGGGGCACTGGGAAAATACATTGAATACAGTTTGCATTTTATCATCTGGCAACAATAATTCTATCACTATATGATAAGTTTTTTGGAAGATATGCATTGATGATCTGAAGTTTGGTAAGAACTGAACAAACCTCTCGCTGAGCAAGTCTACTGTTGGAATCCTAGTGAATTTCTGTGAGGATGCAAATATTTTGAAATACTTTTTTTTTAAATTGAGACTGAATAAAAGTTGGCTATAAGACCTTGAAGACCTGGTTGTTCTCTCAGGTCTTACATTAAGATGGATGGAGCCACTTGTTGGATGTGGTTTTTCTGTATTTTTGTATAGAGTGACCACAACCCATCTTGCTTTGCTTTGTATTGTGCTTTTATAGTTTTTTATACTGAGCTGCTCAGAGACAGTTCAGAGACAGGCAGTGCCTAAATTTAATTAGTTAATTAAAAGGTATGTTACAGACAATGATGAAGTTTCACATTATGCATTACTGTTTAATTTAAGCAGATTAGCTTTTTCTCTCAGTGATGGTTGAACATTTACTACAAAAATATAGTTGTGAACAGATATACTACTTGTCCTGTTTTAACAGGTAATTTACATTCTTTTTTCTGAGTCTTTTCCCCTCTTTTCTATATTTCTTAGCTACAGAATTCCCTAAAAAGTGATCTGTGCCTTGATCAGGGACCAGATACAGAAAATATTCCAATCATGTACATCTGCCATGGAATGACACCACAGGTTAGTAAAATTCGTCTTGCATCTTATGCCCGCCCATAGCAGGATTTATGGAAAGAACCATACTGTAACTAGCAATCATTTTTTCTACTACAGTACTTTCTAAGACTGTTAATAGTACATGGAAATATTATTTGTTCCGTGATGTTAAGTATTATGAGTCTCTTAATTAGTGCCTTGTCAAGAAGTCCCATTTATTCACACTGGAAAATAGTGAATGCAATGAATTGTTGGCATAATGTTTTACTATTCTTCCTAGAAAAATAGGATCCCAAATGTGAATGCAATAGTAACTATTCAAGGACATTTATTTTACCTATATTTCTACATCTCAAATATTGATGTCATTTAAAACACACACAGACACACATATACACTTGTTCTTCCAGTAACTATGCTTGGGTTAAAATAAAAGAGTAGAGAACTGTAGTTATTTTGGCTCTTCAAGAAACAACTAGGCATGGAGGTCCCATGGTTTAATTTTGCCCTTTGTTAGAGAAGCATTGCATAACATCATGTGAATCCGTTCAAATGTTGCTATACCAGTTTTATTTTATGCCTCTCAATTGTGATTTTATAGAAAAGCCTATCTTCTAGATACTACAAGATGGGCCAGGAATAAATTGATCCAAAGACCATCAGAAACTAGAGAGCTGCACTAGTAATAAATAACAATTTTTGCCACCCAGTTTAGTTCCTTTTGAGATGAGGCAGGGAAGTAGTGTCCAACTGAGAACTTTTTCTGTGTGTGATCTATTGGGCTGATTAGAATCTTAGAAGTCCTATAAGGAATTCCTACTGGCTTATGTTCTCATATTAAACATATGTATGTCACTGGATATCATTTCTTAAGTTGTTTTCAGAAGTTTTACTAATAGAATGGCAAATAGTAATACATGTGAATTTGTATGATTCAATGGTATCTAAAATTATATTGTTATTGGGACTCTCTAATCATTAACTGATAAATATTCATATTGTCCTTTATAAGCAAGACTTTTTTCAAAGGCCTTTATCCCATTCTTTTGCTTTTTGAGATTCTTATATGTTGCCCATACAATTGCCAACTATGTGATCTGCATATTTTGTGAAGGATGCATAATATTTGATGGAGAATCAACAAATGTATGAGACCCAGGAAAAGCAAAAGATTTATTTAAATTGAGAAATACTGGAATGTTGATTTTTGTTGCTCAGTTTTTGTTTCTGTATGACCATGAAAAGATATGCAGCCTCCATTTTCATACCTAGAAGAATTAGTTTCCCTGTATAAGCTGCATTTAATATTGATCATACTAGTGTGGATACACTAGAGTAAATTATGACTGATGAAGAGAAATTTTCAGAGTCTGCTGATACACTGCACAGGATAAAGCTTTTCTCTCCCCCCCCCCGCCCCGCTTTATTTTAATAACTATCATTTGCCAAGGGGAAATTCTAAAAAGATTCAGCGTTCTTCAAGTAACTAAGTCCTCCTTCTGTTATTCATAAGTTATTAAAAGTCTCTCTTCTTTACCTTCTGGAAATATCTTATAACAGTGTTTTGATGTATCCTTTATCTGCAGTAATGATGCTGAAAAGACACTGTTTCAAATTTAAATTGAAAAAGTGTAATTATATTATGGCACACATAAAAGGTTTTCATATTAGCATCTTTTCTGTATTTGATTGACCTGTTTTGCAACTAAGTAGAACATAAATGAGTTCCTGCATAAACATCCTGTCAGTATTGTAAGATTTTTCCAGAAGCTGAGGATTACCAATATATTTTCATTAATCAGATTTGATGTAGTTTAATCTTGATTGTACAAATAAATATTATGATCTGAACTAGATGAGTTTCTCTAAAATTGACTTTGATATATTTTGGCATTTACAAGGAACTCATAATTTTGCCTCTTTATTAGCATATAATTCTGTAACAGGGTTACCAAACTTCCTGGTGAAGATAGTATCAACATGAAGATATGTAGGAAAAGTATTAACCTCCAAAGATGTTGGCTAGTTTATCAGGTTGAAAAAAGATGAGTAAATACACCTTGTGCAGTTCTCCAGATGCTGTTGGTCTGCATCTCACTTTATCTGTTATCATTCAGTTCATTGTTTTCACAGCTTCTGGAAGATTGAATGTTGCCCACCTATGTTTTAGAGGTTATAGATTTGGGGAAAATGTTTATGAGCCAGACCCTATGTGGACATATCTATCATAGCTCCTGTCATGAAGATGTGGTAAAACTGCTGCCACTGATTTTTAAATTGCAACTGGCTACTGTATATCTATTGATAGTTTCTTTTATGCTGACTTTTACCCAGAGGCCATGGGTAGAGCTATCTCACCTGTAGTTTCTGCCTTCATCCTCCAGAATTAGAGGATCTTGTACCAAGCAACTATTGCTGAAGCTGGGGGGTATTTAATGTTCCCCAGGCAGCTACCTGTTATGCTTGCAGCTTCCAGGATTTGTTTCAATATTTTTCTATTGCTTTTTGTTTTAAAAAAATCAAAGTGGTTTACTTAATTAATAAAATCTTCATGATAAATGAATAAAAAATAGAAATAGAATAAAATGATAAAATGATAACCAATGTATACCCTACAATGAATGCAACAAAGAAACATTAACACAAAAAATAAATTAATAAGACTTAGAGCAGCTGATGAGAAACAGAAACAAGGGTATGTCAAAAGATCTGGACAAGTTTTTAATTTTTAACAAACGGCCCAATGCATAGCAGAAGTTTGTTCACTCTAGAAATTGCATTACTATAGATGAACCACACTTCCATATTGCAACGAGACAAATACCATGAAACTGGGATATGATCAGCAAGTCATCCTCATGAAAACATATAGACTAGGTAGGCTTGTAAGGAAGCAGGTGATTCCTCAAATAATCTGGTCACAAGCCCTTTAAAGGCCAGATGTGGCCTCCTTAGAGTGAACGATATAAGCTTTATAAGCTAGGACATCTCTGGAGTAAGCTTGGAAACTGAATTCCATGTGGAAAGATTCCAGGTGCAAAGAAAAATACCAAATGCTCACAGTATCAGAGAACGATTAGGATGTGAAATAGGGAACTTGCATATTCTGTTTTTGGAATATTCAGTCCAGATGGAAGCTCCATTTGCAGGTTGCCTATTTTACAAAATATATTTTACAAAGATCAAAACAGGTTTCAGTCTTTCATAAATATTCTCTATTTTATTTACTATATGTTTATCAGATTATTTAATATGTGGTTCTTATTTTGTTGCTGTTATTATTGCTTTCTAGCAGGGTCCCAAACATTTAAATTACACTAAAGAGTATCAGGTGAAACTATGGACCCAATAAAGGTATTTTTTTTAGACAGAGAGACACACAGGTCCAAGGCCGTGAATTTGGAAGGCCATTTGAGAGAAGATAGAAGAATATTTTGCATAATTGTGGTGTCTACACATTGTCAGCCAAATATTAAAACATCTGTTAGTGTACTTGATCCATAAAATGTCAAGTAGGAGCTAGAATTTTATTATGAATTTGGGTATAATTTTGCCATTAACTTGGATTTTATGGAAACAAGTGACTGAAAAGAAAGAACATTAAAGGTTGCCTCCCTGTATCTTGTTCTTTTCACAAGTAATGAGCTCTGGTTTCATTAGGAAGTAGGATACTTTAATTCTATCATTATGTTGTCTCTTCTTTCCCCATCAAGGAGATCTTTTTTAAAGTATTTATAGAAATAATATTATAGGATCAAATTAATGGAAGTTAATGGAACAAAAGGTTGATTTTTTTTTTCCCAGTAAAAATGACCTGCAATTAATGATCTGAACCCTTCTGCTATAGACTCTGGCACTATTATCAACAGAACTATTTTTATTTCCTGTTAAGAATATGCTGATCCCTTTGTGAAATACAATTGCAAATTCAAATATTAAAAAGTATGCATTGCTAGTGTTCTATCCCCATTACTTTCCAATTCTGTACAATCATACTTCCCAAATGTTTGCAACAACACCTTGATATCTACCTATCCTTTGACATGATCCTGAATCAAATTTGTTTCCCTGAAGGACTCTGTTTTCCTTACATTCCATCTAGCATTAAATATCATTGATTGCAATGGGTAGGAAGCCCTCCTCCTCCTCCTTCTCCAGAGGCAGGATAAATTTTGGATTGGTTCTCTCAGATATATCCTTCTTTGGAGTCCTTGGGGTTCTCTGAGCTTGGTTGTTCCACAATTCAACCCTGAGCTACATATATTCTCTTCTATTGATACCCTTCTCTTCCTGTTTAGGTGGCGAAGGGGCTGCCCCCACTCCCACAAAAAGAAAATGCTTACACAGAGCCTCCAGCAGTGCTGCATGTTCTTAAATGCAGCGGGGCCTGCTGCTAATTAGAACAGACAATAATGCATTAGTTGGGCTTACGGTATAAGACAGGTCAGCAAGCAGCAGGATGTGATTGTGTGCAATGTTGTTAGTGCCATTCTTTATTTAATTATCCCCCCTTCCAATTAGGATAGCTCAAACCTTTTGAAATCTCATATCAAAGCACTGATATTGTGCAAAATCCTGCAGGTTTGGGCCAGCTTTAAAAGGAAAAGTCTGTTTATTTTTTTTAAAAAAAAAACTTTGGAGGTGAGTAGAAACTATATTAGGACACAAACCCTTAATATAAGGTAATTTTGTGTGTTATTGTATGTCTGAGCTATCACACTTTTAAAGAACATTTGAAACAAAAGCAGAAATCTTAACACATCACTGATGTAATGCCAACTTTCAGCTCAGTGTGATTCAGGTATGACATAGTAGTTTTAAAAGAACTCTACTAAACAAAATGCTCCTATCACTGAGAGTTGCTAAAAAGAGCTCATCTGCATCAAATCAGCATTTGTTTTCTGAAGACATAAAATGAGCAGGTAATCAAATTAGCTGTGTTTCTGCAGTTGACCACTTACGTTTATGCTTTAATGATCCCACTTGGACACAGATAATCTATCATTTGAAAGTGGGGAAAGGTA